TTTATCATTGCACATATTGTACCTTTAGTCGTAATTCTGCCTTCATCACCTTCATATTTCCGTCTCATCGTGCTGTTCCAATGATTCTTGATCGCATTATCAGTTCTGCCTGGTAAGAGTTTGGCGATCTTGGCCCATTGATTACCGACTCTACGATGAGCTTCGACAATTATTTTATCTTCAGCCTCCGTCCACGCACTTTTCTTTATCCCCGGATTCAAATGGTTGTGCCATCGTTCTCGGCACTGTTTGCCAATTCGGCCTTTAAGATGCCGCGCTATTAACGTCCACTTTTTCGGACCATATTTTTGTACAAGTTCAACCACTTTGTTATCTTCCTATAGAATTTGACAACATATATTAGTGAAATATATATATATATATCCCAAAAAATACCTTAATAGAATTATAAATAAATTTTAATAATAAAAAAAATCTAATCAGTTTTGAATTCCGGAAAGAAATGCGGTTTACAAAAAAAAAAAGTTATGCCCTAGGATATCCCGTACCTTCTATCGTCTAACATATAAATAATCTGTTTTGTTATAGGACGACATGTGAGTAGATATCAAGCAGGTATCTCAAGGAATACCAGTGGGAAACGCCATAATCACACGTACGCGCATTCGATTCCCGGAGCCGCATTACTTTGCCCTTGGCTGTTGCCAAGTGCATTGGCACGGCGACGCAGCATCACCGTGGCCCGAGCTTCTTCTTATTGCATACCCCACCGAGACGAGCGGCAAGCACAGAGAGTGCTGGGAGAGTCCGCGCGTCTGTATGCGATTCGCCTCGTGTAGGTGGTATGTGCAGTGCCGTATAACGACGCTACAATACCCAGCATTCGGCATCGAGAAACGGTGATACGACACAATCGTCTCGTGTTATTGATACGCTCTATCTAATCGTCTAATGAGAATACAGAATAGATTGAACTTCGAAATTTAGATTTTTTTTTTATTATATTGATTTTTGTAAACGATTCAATAATTCCGAATCTGTCAAAAAGTCCCAATCTATGTATAAATTGTGCTAAACGCGTATACATTCATAGTCGTTTATATCTAAGATTATCGATGACTGACGGAACTTGAGAAAAATTATGAAGCACGACGCTGGGGACCTTTAGCAACAAATGCCCACCTCCTTCGTCCACGGACCCTTGACCAGCTCCGGGTTCACGACCTTCGCCCACCTCTGTTGGCACTGCACGTCGCTCCGATCTGGAAACTGGCTGGCTATAATGTCCCATCGCAAACCAGTGCCGAGTTGTTCCGCGCCGCTTACTAGTTGCTTCAATAAAGCGTCCTGCAAGAGGAAAAGCTACAAATAAAAACGTGAAAATATTTTGTTCTGTTTTGCCTATGGCATTTTATTCGAGCGCCTTAATGGCACAAAACGAGGAAGGACGAGCGCATGAGAGATCGATCGATCCTCGGTAGGCTTTCCCACGTGTAGCCGTGTAAGTACACCCCTATGTTTCATGGGGTGACTGAGGCATCTGCCTCTCGGCACGGCGACGCAACTCGCTTGTAGAAAGTACGAAGGGTGGACATTTTTTTCGGGGGGATCCACACGCTCATTGTTTTCCCCTCGTCCTCTTGCCCCTCAACTTGCTATATGGAAGCGATATGGTAGCCGATATTTATACGCTTGGCGTATAAAAACATAAAGCCGAAATCAAATTTAGAAGATCCGCTGAGGGGAAGAAAATTTCGAGAAAATTTAATTTTGTTGTAATAAAAAAATACATAGATATTAAATATCTAAAATTTTGTCTCTACAGATCGATTAATTCACTACAGATTAACATGACAAAAAATATCTGTGATAAATAATACTTATCAACTGGGATATTAAATAGCTTGATGATAAAACAGTCATTTGTTAAGCAAAAGATCCGAATTTAGTCCTTCGGTCTCGCATTAAGTAAGATATTTTGAGAAAAAAAATATTATTCCGCTGTGATAAGCCAAAGATATAAAATACTAAATGGGTGAATAAATCATAATATTGTGTTCTCTGAAAGGACAATATGAAGAAAATTGAACTTAAAATTATTTAATTACAAATAACGAACTTACTTCTTCTTTGGTCCATCGTCCTTTATTTATGTGTTTCCCTTGTCCGTAATTTGTGACAGTAATGGGAACTTGATTTTCCGCTTGATTTTGTGCTTGATTAACTGCTTGGCTAACTAACGTGCTGTACTCGTTGTCAGATTCTCCGCCGCTGCTAGAATCGTAACCAGATCGAGAGCTGGAATGACAAGTAACAATCGTGGCCGTGAGATAACTTGTGTCAAATGAATACTATAGACAAAATTAATATTTAATGAATAATTCTTCAAATATACAGCAAATTACAAACATCTCTAAATATTGATTCATTGCAAAAGCCTTAAAACGCAATTGTAATATTTGATTTGCTCCTGTTGCCAAATGTAAATAATTGTAGCAATAACAATCGATAATCTCGATATTTTTATTAAAAAAAATATCGCCATTAAATTTACAAAATTATATTTAGATTTTAATTTGAGAATGTTCGTTAAGAAAGAGAAAGTAGGAAATTAGATTTTGTCGAAGCTCCTTCCTAAACGTATATCGCTAATAATATGGTGATCCAAGGAAAACGAGAGGCTTCCTTCCCGTAACGTTATTTATAATCACTCGCGCGAATCAGGACTCTACGATGACAAAACTCAAATACGGAAGCTTTAACGAACATGTATATCTTCTATCTGCCGGGAAGTAACGGCTGAGACGAGACGGGAAATCACGGGTGAGTGAGTATCCTTCCTGCCCCGAGTCTTCCTCCCTTTTTCCTTTCCTTTTTTTTTGTCGTGCAACTTTTATCGTCGCCGTTCTCTTCTAATTTCGCCACTACTACGGGATTCGGGAAGCAAGCTCTGACCGCGAAAACCCCGGTTTTTGCGGTCACGAACGACTTGATCTTCCCTCGCTTTGGAACTTCCTGTCACGTTTTGTGCGCAGGTAATTGGAGCACTTCCTTATTAGGACATCACATCCTCCCCCTTTGCATACTCCCCCAACTACCCTCCCCGATTAATTTCAGAAGTTCATTGCCTACGTTGGAAGTTATAGAAGATTAACGTCGCGCATTATGATTAATAATTTAATTTTGTTTTAAAAAAACTACCCTTATCCTTTGTTTTTACGTACGGAAAGAATAATTTTGCTGAAGTAATCTAAAAAATTAGCTAGATAATAAATCTGAAAATAATTTTATTGGTCCAACAAAATTGTCTTCAGATCTGACCAAATTTTTTGGAATATTTCAAATCATTAAAATCATTTTTTTTTCTGTTACCAAAAAATATCTAGGATTTTTTGGGGAGGATTCAATATCCTGTATCTCGTATTACGTTGACAATTATAAATAATTAAAATTTCTGATTTTCCCTGGGATGTGAGTTTCGCAGAGGTAGACCTGCGCAGTGTCCGGCCGAATAACAATGCATCCGAGAACAGAAGGCGATATAGAATGCTCCTCTGTACGTGCAATCTGCTTCACCCTCGCCTTTTCCCCTTTCCCTCGCCCCTAACAGCTGCATACGCTGGGGAGAGTCCGGGGTGAGCGACTGAGGATATAGTTAGCTTATATGCAACGATAGCAACGTGGAGTACTCGCGGACGTATGCGTGCATCGTAAACATATGTGTGCTGCAGATGGCCCGGGGTTTCCTATCGCTCCTATTGCTTCGTGTATACCGGGCGCCATCGATCGAGGAGACATCTTCGCCCCCCTCCCCCCTCCCTAATGGACCCCCATTTCAATCAGGTTCATCACAAATGTCATACGAGGGAAGAAAAATGTATATGCAGGAAGAACGATTTGTTGGATCATCTCAAAATTTGGCCAGATTCAGACCCAAAAATAATTCTTTTGGACCATCAAAATAAGGATAACGTTAAGCATAATGTTAATACAAAGATTTTTTCATATCGTACCAAAACGAATTTGGACGAATAATTATTTTGATGGCCTAATAAAATTATTTTCAGATCTGAATCTGACCTAATTTTTAAATATTTCAAATTATTTTTTCTGTGTTTACAAGGTAATATTTGATGTAAAAGGTAATTTTTATTGAAAACAAAATTAACTTTTGCCATGATAATTAATTACGTGTAGAATACGCGTGACTTCGACTCCTATTTATTTAAAGTCGCACGGTTGCTGGGCACCGTAGACGATACAAGAGACGAAATTACGTCATCGCGAGCGGCCTAAACACCATGGAATGCAAACAGGCTAAAACAACATCACTCCCGTTTAATTACCAGTGAAAGAACCTCTTTCATAACGGCACGCCTGCCTGCTATAAATGACTATTAATTTTCGAGAGATCTTAATCACATTGAGGAATGAAAAACTTCATTTTATCAAACATATCTCGATGGAAAAATCAGTCGTCAAAGTTTGTAAACCGACACTACAAAATGATCAGCACAACACACGGAATGATCAGTTAAGATATTAATTGTATGTCTCGTTTCGATTAATGATACAATCAACTTCGTATATATATATATATGATAGATATCGATCGCATCATGTCCTGGCAATTTTTCTTAATTTGCGAGTATCATTTCTCTGCAGGTGCACGTATATTTGTATATCAAGTAACTTCTTGAGAATATTTTAAGAACCTTGTACAGTCGTAAGAAAGTAAAAAGGGTGTGTCAATGCAATGGAATGTATCGACAAACCATAGAGGCAGTCAGAATAATATTAATGCTCGTTATGTATTTGTATACATTCTAAGTTTAATATTCTTCTTAACTCATTACAGAATGTTTCGTAGAACAATAAAAATTAATTTTGAGGACATAGAATTAGAGATAAACGAAGAAAATTCGTTCAGATAATTTGAATGATAATTTGTCAGAAAGTCAAAGAGAATCTGAAATTTTTACAATATCTTCGTTATAAAGAAACTATATCCAATAATTCTTGTTAAGAGAATATTGTTAGGCAATTAGCACAAGAATTTTGCGGCAGGTTACGTAAAGACCCTCGTCGTCTTCTCAGAATTTCTAACGGGCGTGCCATCCTTGAATTCCAATCCTTCAGGCACGTGCAATGTTTAGAAAAGACTTCCACATTCTTCATCATTCGCGAAAATACATCGGAAGATACATCGTAGCTTCTACGAAGAGAAACGATCTTGGAAATCTTTAAATAATTGAAAGTTCCTTTTGTATTATAGTATTCGCATTGCATAAAGAATTTTTGTGACAAAAGTTACCACTACTATTCGTCGATGACGTTACTGAAAAATTACTGTAATATTCGGATAATATTAGAAGAATTCTTGAAAAGCGAGAAGTTAAATGACAAGACAATGATAATGACAACTCTTTCATCCTTCCATTATTTCAATAAATTAGCAAATAAAATATCCGGGTAAACTTATATGTGACTTTTGCTCGAGTGGCGACAAGCAGGTGTCGCCAACAGCTGCTTACTTGTCTAGGAAGATAAACGGCATATCTTTTGTCACCGTGCAAAAATTATTTTCATTAAGAGCTTCTTTAATATACAATTAACTTTAATATACATAAAGTATATTCATTAAAATATATATAACAAAAACTACAAAAATTAGCTTTTCAAAATAAATAAATTCAAAATAAAGATAACCATTTATTTGATGAATAAGATCCGGCAATTCTTCATAGAGCTCATTATTTATTTTTTGTTAATCAACGAATAAATTTCTAGATAGAAAAATAATATATAATAAAATTAAGTTGAGTAGAGGGTTTTCCGGGATACAAGTCAGGCAAACCTTTCCGAATGAAAGCGAAAGGCAAGCGATTTTTATGGGGGGCACCGACGGACGTCGGTAAATTTTAGAGACAATAAAACGATATCGCGGGGCCGGACGATCTGACTTTTCGTGAGAACGGGAAAGAAAGCCCTGGTACCGTGCGTGCCGAGCTATGGACATCTGCCAAAGTTCCGAACTTTCCCCTCTTTTTCGTGCGCACTTCTTCCGTTCACGTTCAGCGCTCACACGTTCATTTCGCCTTCGCGACACACCGGGCGCCCTAGCTCCTTTTCCTTCCTTCCTCCTTTACTTCCTCGCTTCCGCCTGTCGCACGTCACGCAACAATAAGGTCATCGTGCAAGGCGTCCCTCCGTACGGCGTAAAGTTCACCGATGAAGATCAACGATTACGACTTGGCAAAACAAACCTACGCTCGAAGCTGCAGTTCGACTATTTTCTCGAATAAAAAAGCGCCAAGTCCTCATGGAGTCGGCGTTAATTAATTCGATGAGTTTGACGAGTTAATTATCGCATCGTCGTGCCAGTGTCTTTACATTCGAGGAATGTTTTTCTAACATTGTATCAATATTTGCTTGTTGTCAGATGATAAAGTAATAATTAGAATAATAATAATTAGAATAAAACTGATAGTTTTAAAATTTTAGCAGGATATAATAAGATGATAGATCTTTTAACATAATCATATCTTTCAAGAATAACGGAATTGGAGGTTGTTGATAAAAATCCATTTAATAATGTAAGATAAATTTTTCAAGAAAGAACATTCATCTTTGCACAGAAAATAATTTATTTCTGATCAAGAAGAAATTTTCCACGTAGCTTGAGTTCAAGATTACCAATATTTGAATCTCGAAAAGCGGATTCAAATCTTATCTAGAATTGTGCCATTTTGCCCCAAATTTTCCACGATAAAAAAATTCAGATGCTTTGACTTCGCTTTTCGAATTTTTGCCTTCGCCGTTTTGTGAAAAGACTCTTTATCGAAATACGAGATATCGGCTTTTATAAGAGCCTTATCGAACGAAATGTGCAAGTTTGTACGCCGCTATGTCCCTGGCACGCGTAACAGGATGGAATATTGGGTCAACGCAAATACAGATCCCGCCGTCGCGTTGGTCGCGTGCGACGCCCGCAATACAATTGATCCTTTCGTCAATTTTCTAGCGTCTGGGACCAGGTGTATGAATCCAGGGAGCGTTCGTTCATGGCTGTGGCGTCAGCTGCTACCCCAGTGAGTCCCATCCTCTCGCTTCTGTCTCGTCTGCGATCACTCAAGATACGGCGCTTACGATGACGCTTGCCTTTCCTCCCCCCCCCCCCCTCCCGCGCCAAGGCGTCGAAGATTTCGTGTCTGATGACACGAGTTGTCACACATTGCGATTGCTCGCTGTCCAGCAAAGCAAACATTAGAATCTGTATTACGTCCGAGTGAGCATTT